GTAAACTGATTTTAGAGTTTATATACAGAGGCAAAAGATTCAGAACAGCCAGTGCACTATTGAAGAAGGATAGAATTGGAGAACTGACACTACTGAACTTCATGACTTACTATAAAGCTATAGTAATCAAGGCAGTCTGGAACTGGTGGAAGAACAGACAAATCAGTCAGTGGACAGAGTACAGAGCTCTGGAATAGACCATGTAAATGGCTGATTTTCATCAAAACAGGAGAGGAAATACAATGAAACAAAGGTAATCTTTTCAATAAATGGTGTAACAGCTAAACATACACATGGAAAAATGAATCTAGATGTAATTTACACTTTTCACAAAAATTCAGAAGGGATCATAGACCTGTGTGTAAAACACAAAACCATAAAACTCCTGGGAGAGAGAAGAAAACTTAGCTGACCTTGGGTTTGGTGGTACCTTTTTAGATACAGCATCAAAGGCATAATGTACAAAAGAAAAAATTGGTAAATTGGACTTAATTAAAATTAAGGGAGAACATACCTATAAAAGACACATGTGATAAAGGACTCCTATCCAGAACATTAAAAAAAAAAAAAACTATTAAAACTCAACAAGAAGAAAAAGAACAATTCAAAAAATGGTAAGAGACCTCAGTAGTCATCTCACCAAGAAAATATACAAATGGCAAATAAGCATATGAAAAGGTGCTCCACATTCTAAGTTATTAGGTAAATGCAAACTAAAGCATTGAGATATCACTGTACATCTATTAGAGTGGCTAAAATTTAGAATGCCAACACCTAATGCTGGTGAGGATACAGAGCCACAGGAATTCATTCATTCCTGGCGAGAATGAATGTAGGACAGCACATACACTTGGAAAGACCATTTGACAGTTTTCTTATAAAACTAAACATACTCCTACCATATGGTCCAGGCATTGCACTTCTTGTTTACTCACACGAGTACAAAACTTATGTCCCACACAAAAACCTACATGTGAATGTTTATACCAGCTTTTTTTTCATAATTGCCAAAACTTGGAAGCAAGCCAGAAAGGTGAATGCATACATAAACTGGTATATCCAGAAAATGGGATATTACCCAGGGCTAAAAAATGATTGAAGAAGACATGAAAGACATACAAGAAACCTAAATGCATGCTTTTATGTGAAAACAAAACAAAACGATCTGAACAGGCCACGTACTGTGAGTGGAAGTATATGACTTGTGGAAAAGGCAAAACTATGGAGGCAGGAAAAATTCAGTGGTTACCAGGGGTTGGAGGCAAGGAGGAGGATGAATAGAAGGAGTGCAGAGAATTTTTAAGGCAGGGACAATACTCTTTATGGTACCAAAATGATGAAATACATTACACATTTGTGCCAACTCATAAAATGTAAAAACGCTGGGTGAATCCTAGTGTTAACTGTGGACTTGAAGTGATAATGATGTGTTGGTGTAGGCTCACCAATGTTAGCAAATGTTCCACTCTGGTGTAGAATTTTGATAATGGGGGAAGCTGTGAGTATGTGGAGGTAGAGGGTATATAGGAAATACATATACCTTCTATTAACTTTTGCTGCAAACCTAAAATTGCTCTAAAAAGACAAAGCCTATGAAACTCAAAATGAAAGAGAATGCAGAGGAACTAAAATTCTGTTGAGACCCTCAGTGTTTGTAGAAATCCATATCCTTTCCTCACACGTGATGAAAAAGTGTTTTTGAAGTACAGTTTTATGTTGACAATCATTACCTTCAAAATTATCGAGAAACTATCCCTTTGTTTTTCTAATTTTCATTCTTGCTATTATGTCTCAACCAATTTGGGCTCCTGCTTTATAGGAGACCTTTTGCTGCTGCTGTTAATTGAGTTTGGTGTATTTTCATTCATGAGCTTCTACATTCCTTGAAACTTTTTAATTTGGAAACTCATGTTCTTCATTACTGTAATTTTTTTTGAAACACTTGATCTTTCTCCTACTCTTTTGTGTTCTTCCCTTCTGACTTTTATTTTTCTTTTCTTTTTTAACATATTGGACTTTGTGGTCACTGTTTTTTTCTCTGTTTTCTGCTTTTTGAATATTACCCTATTTTATAGTTATAAACACTTTCTCCCTTATCATGCTTTAGTCCTTTTGTTTTTACTGCATAATTTCTGTAAACATTTTAATTTTTGCCTTTTTGACTTTAGATTTCATGTTAGTCTTGGTTTTCAGTTAAATCTGTTTTTTCTGGTCATATTTACCTGTTGGGTGACTGTACTTGTTGGCTTTTGTAGGTGGAGTTTGTTGACTTTGAGTTTCATTATAACCATGACTGAGATGGACCGTATTTGGGGATCTCTGACAGTGTCCTCAGGGCTTCTGCCTAGGAAGAATATTGTTTGACATTCTTTTGGGCTGCAGGTTGATGGAGGCAGAGGGTTCTTAGCGTCAGTGTGTGTATGCGTATTTTTTGTGACCAGTGATATCACTATGATTCCCATGCTGAATCATAAAGATCTAAATTTTCAGCAATTACGCACTGATTAACTTTCTTAATGTAAAAATCTACCACTGTGGTAGTTGTTTTCTGTTCCATCTGTTGTGTTTCTTTTTCTGCCTGCCTTTATATGAATTGTTTTATTTTAAAGATTCTATCTTATCACTGTTGATTTCTTATTTTTAACTTAAAAATATTTAGTGCATGTCTTGACTTCAGAATGTATGTGTAGTCACGGTCGCCTTCAAATAATAATATAGTATTCATGAGCCCAAAGTAGTAGGTTGCACAAGGGGAGCCTGCAGGGGTGTAAAAGTTCCTGTTGAGTATGTGGCTCCCAGAAGTTCTATATCCTCCTACTCACCTCCACTCAGTACTTAGCAATGTGTTGAAATTTTCTACTTACTTCTTCTTAGCTGCTTGTATGACACCTGATGTCTCTTGTTCTTCTGTTGTACTGTCTGTAAGCTGGTGATGGCATTCTCTCTGTCCTTGGGGGAGGCCTGCCTTTTCTTAGATTTAAGGATGCTTGGTCCTCTTGTGACCTTGGCTCTGGTGGATTCAAGAAAAGTTCTGCTTTGGTAACTTATGTGTTTTTTCTTCAGAAAAGAACATGACTTATTCCAGCTTTCCATATGTTACACAAAAATAGAAATCCTAATCAGTGTTAGCGAGAAATGTAGAAATTCAAAATTTAATTGGTCATTAAGCATGTGTAGTTTTGAATTTACCCCCACAGTAAATTTTATTGCAAAGATTACCAAAAGTCTCATAAATAGTTGTAATATTAGTCTATAATAATGACAAATTCAGGCTGTTCTTTTTGTCAAGATGGCTCAGCCTCTGTTTCTAGTATATATTTCCTATATACCTGACCCAGAATTTTCTGTGTTTCTCATTGGCCCTAGTGGCTGGAATCTTAAAGACTTCATACACTTTGTAGGCTGTTGCCATCTTTCATGGTACAATATGTGGCCAGCAAGAGTCTAGCATCTAGTAATTCTCTTTGTACTACCTAAGACAGGAGGGAACACCTGTTCCTATGGTCTCCTCTCAGTATGCACTGCGTGAGCACTTTGAAGTCTTCCCACAAATGTGGTAAATATCTTGTTTCTGAAAAGAGTCAAGAAAAGGGCTAATACTCGTCATCTTTCAGATTTAAACATGTGTTAAAGAGAACATTCTGTTGACTGTACATACATCTCACGTACTGCTAAATGAGACCAGATGCTGGAATTACAAAGAGGTTTAAAAAATTCATTTATTTGCATATAACTAATGTTGGTAATACTTTTCAAAGATTATAATGTCTAAGAAATCTGTCATGTTAAAGTGTATCAAAATGGAAGATAGAAGCTGAGACCATCCTAGTCAACTTGGGACTATGTATATTTGATGCTTCTATTTTCTTCGCCGTTACCTTCCCAAACCACTGTAGCTAGGATTTTGGAATCGCCAGTACAACAGTACAGCATTGGCAACAAGTGCTGCATTTCATACTGATATTTGTGGCCTTTCTTTGGTCTTCTTTACATGGGTATGTTCATTCTAAAATCCAAATCTATCAGATGTCTGAAACTTTGGTATGTTTTTATGCCACCTTTTCTCTTAAAGGTATCCCTCTCTCCTCCAATTGTATTCAGTCTTTAGAGTGAGATCAGAGACCATTTCCTTTGAAAGGCCTTCTCTGATGCCTTTACACAGAATTAAGTATTTTATTTCCTGGTCTACTTATAGATATACTTCTAGTGTTGCATTTATCACATTCTGTTGCAAAATATTTGTTATAGATCAGCCTCCTTTTTAAAAGGTGAGTTCCTTGAGGACATAATACATGTCTCATTTATCTTTATGTGCTGGTATGTAATACAGAGCTTGGACATGATCGGCACTCAGTATTATTCACCTGAATTGTTAGTCATTTTAATAGTTTTGCCTGAAATGCTTAAAAATGTTGCTTGTATTTTGCTAAGTTTATGAGAGGCTTTTCCATTCCTGTTTAATAATGGAATACTGAAATGTTTTCAAGTTAAAATAAAAATACACATTTTTAAAAATGATATGTTGACAAGTAAAATATTAAAATGAACAAGAGCTGTGACCTGCAAATATGTTGATATAAATATCAGAGTTGAAATTTGATGGATACGTGTATTTGTTAAATAAAATTCTGATACAGGGATCTTCAGCCATACTCTGAGACATTTTAGAAACATGCTTGGAAAGGTAGCTTATAATCAAAGGAAGCAAAGCATTATGTTTATTTGACCCCTAAAACTATTGAGGAAGTTTAAAACTTAGGATTACAACTTTCCTACACTGTATATATTTTTTGACTTTTAGGGCACAGGTAAAATTATTGTGTATTGTGTATTGTGATTAATAAGTAGCGAATCAATTAATAAGTAGTTAATCAAAGAGTTAATGAGTTCTCTAGGCCCTGTCTTTTCTGTATTGATTATGTAATTTAAAAAAAAGTTGTACTTAAAATATGTTGAAACAACTTCTTCTCCTTTATTTATTTATTTATTTTTCTATCCAGTGTAGTGACTATGACTTGGAATTTGGAACTGAATGTTTACAGTTGGCTCTAAAATATGGTCACATTAAAGCCAAACTTGTGGAAGGATCACCTGACCTCTGGAAGGTAAGGGAGTTGGTGTTTTGCTCTGGGTCTTGGCTATGCTTGTATATCATTCCTAAAACCCATTCTGTAAGTGTAAACACTTTCTGGCTGCTTCAGGAAATGGAGAAGTGGTATAAAAATATGTGGTTTCATACTGAAAGAATATTTTGAGGAAAAAACATATGTATGTATGTGTGTGTATGTATGTATGTATGTATACATTAAAGGCATTCAGAGTTTCACTGGGTTTTCTGAGCCATCAAAGTATGGTATCATTTCTATTTCCTTGTTTTAAGAACATTCACTTGGAGATAATTTATTCAAATAAATTCCATTTTAGCTGATAAGATGGTTTTACTCATTGTTTTTCCTTCTCTCTCCCTATATCCTTCTATTCTGTTGCCTTATACTGCTTTGGGTTAAGGATGCAACTCTGCTTCCCACAGTGGCAACATTTCCTTCTGGTCCCTGGGGTGGTGGCTCCAACTTAACTGGGTCAAAGAAATATCTGCCATAGTCTGACGCTGTGGACTGGATGACTGGATCCACTTGATAGCCCCAGTGAGCAGTTGGACTCTTGAATGTAATAAGGTTTGACTCATAATGACAAATTCTTTGTTTTGGAGGGAATGAAGTGATAACACTCTCATACTAAAGCTTCCTGTGGAGGATGGAGTGTTTCACAGTGTGGCTTTCATTTGTATAAAGGTGGAAATGTGTCGAACTGAACGATCTATTCTGGAATAGGGTAGGGTTATTTTCTTTTTTCAAGTATTGCTGCTTTTGAAATATGGGATGAAAATTTATAAATGTCATACTGATACTTGTATCTAAATCTGGTTAGGAAAGATTCATTTTAACTCTAAGATTTTATGAATCCAAAGGCATATTTCCCCATTGACTTGAAAACAAACCAGAAAGCAAACCTACTAAGTTCATTAGGTATTATGTACATTAAACTGAAGGGCCTTGCTGCATTCTAAGATTGTCTCATACACACTTGAAATGTTCTGAAATTACAAAATATTGGCATGTCTGGATTATTGGCTGGTGGAGAAAATCCATGCAATATTATTGTTTTTTTAAGGGTATCCAAATGTCATCAATCCAGCAGGCAAATATTTTATTCATTCTGTGTATTCTTTTCTATATGTGGCTCTGATGGTGATGAACATATTGTGAGGACTGTGGTGTTTACCAAGTAGATGTTTTGTTCAAGATGCTGACTCCTATCTCTGTAAGGCCCCTTTTGACTGTGTGCTAAATTAATTTGTAGGCAGAGGGAGAAGGGAGTGAAAACTCGCAGACAACATGTTAACATAACACTCCCTGACCTCATTTTTGATGTCTTAGGGGGTGTGGTGATCTATCTCTGTGGGTGTTCAGAGCCTTTTTGAAACTTGTCAAGTGCCCTGAGATTTGCAGATGAAAGTAAAGTAACACATTGCTCTTGAAATTTTCCACTTGTTCCTCACCAATTTATTTCAATTAAAAAAAATAATTGTGAAATCTCATATTTCACTGCTTTCTCCAGCAACACAGTTTTAGCGCTCACATCTTGGTGCTTGGCTTCCCTTTCATGGGCACCAATGTCTGTGCCCAGAGTCAGGGATTGGCCTTGCCAAGTGCTTCTCATCATTCCCCTTGTGAGTCATTTCATGATGCTGTTACTGGTTAATTTGTGTCCCCCACAAACTTATGCCCAAGTTTAACTTAACTCCTGCACTTGAGAAAGAGACCTTATTTGAAAAGTATCTTTACAGGGGACATAGGTGGCTCAGTCACTTGAGCATCCAACTCTTGATTTCAGCTCAGGTCATGATCTCATGGTTGTGAGTTCGATTCCTGGTTTGGGCTCTGCGCTGACCACACAAAGCCTGCTTTTGGGATCCTCTCCCCGCCCCCCGCCCTTCCCCTGCTCTTGCTGTCTCTCTTTCTTTCTAAAAATAAACAAACATTAAAACAAAAAACATCTTTACAGATCTAATGAAGTTAAGATGAGGTCTTACTGTCATCAAGTAGGCCCTGAATTCAACAGAGAAGAATAGCCGAAGGGGGAGAGAGATAAAGGGAGGATGCCAGTGACTAATGATGGAGGCAGAGACTGGAGTGCTGCCTCTACAGGCAAAGGAAAGCCAAGTCGGAAGAGGCCTGGAAGCATTCTTTGACACATCAAGCTTTCAGAGGGGGACATGGCCCTGCTGACACCTTGATTTGAGACTTCCCGCCTCCAGTACTGTGAGAGAATAGTCTCAAAGCCACCCAGTTTGTGGTTGGTTATGGTAACCCTGGGAAACTAATAAACATTCCACAAGCTTAGGCCCAGAGGGATCAGCCTTATAGTATCAGTTTACAAACCTGAAGGGATAGGGGGAAGCCCGTTTCTTTACAATGTTTGAATAATGGGATCTTGGATTCTAAAAGGGTCCTTAACACAATGGATTGGGCAAAAAGTCTTTTAATGGCAGTGAGGATGTCTTTTATAGATACCACATTTCTTCTGTTGAGGTGAAATTATTTTGAGTACAAATACTGTAGTTGTTGCAGCTTCTATGTTTCCTCTTCCTACTGTCTCTCATTGTCTTCCTCCGCAACCCCCACCCGCAGCTTTTTTCTTGTTGCTGATATTTTCCTAGCTGTTGGTATCACCTTGTTGAGCATGTGGATGACATTGTGTGAACTGTCTTCAGTATAAAGGCTTCTCATTTAATTTTGAGGTCCTGGCATTTTGTCTGCGTAAAAGTTTTTCAGTTTCTCTTTAAACCAAAGCAATGGAATCTACACTTAGAACTTAGTGTTCTAATTCTGTACTAGCACTAAAGATGCTACCATTTTTTAAAAATTTAGATCTGAAAGAATATTTAGTACAAGGAGGCTAAAACTGATACTGGAATCAGATGGCTGAGCCAAGTACCAGGCACGTGATTCACAAATCTTGACAGGCTGAAAAATGCATTTCAGGAGGCATTTTACAACCATAAAAAAGTAAGGCAAGGGAGGATTCTGAAACATGGATCCAGGATACATTTCCCTACCCCTCAGAAGTCAGGGAGTTGTCTCCCTCCGTGATGTGAGGAGTGACTAGGCATGTCTCATGCCTGCATGTAGAACTCTTTGAACTGCCACCAGAAATCCCAAGAGGGACGTTTTGTATTTTACATACTTTTTTTGTAAAAGTAAATGCAAGAAGTAAATGCTCAGAGTTAGGCCACCTCTCTTGGAGTAGCTCCTCTGTGGCCTGGAGGAAGCATTTAAATCACCGTGCAGGGTAGAGGATGTCCCCCACTCCCTGGGACAAAGAGAGCGGGACTGATTTCTGGAATAGGAATTGGCTCTCTTCCTTTCCCTTGAGGGGTTGTGCCTTGTGAGGCCTCAGTGAACACATTATTACTTTTACAAAGTTTCATCTAGTAGACATAAGAACTTCTACTCCTTTAGTTTTTAATTGTACCATATTTTTGTCCCAATATATTTAAATACATGCTCACTACACTATACAGACTAATTGAATAGGTTTTTTGTTTTTAAATGTTTGAACTATCCTTAAGGCATAAAAGATTTATAACCAGGTATTAAAGAAGTTCAACTGTGTTCCATTGTCTGAAAATTCTTGTTTAGGAGGAGCTTCTGAATTGTTTGAGTCATCACATATTACTGGAATAACTGACTTTTCAGGAATCCTTTTGATGAGAACTACCCCCCCCCCCTTTTTTTTTTTAAGATCCAAGTGTTCTGCCATCTTTGTTTAAAACAGAAGAAACGAAATAGTCTCACTTCTTAATTTCAAAAATGCAATGTGGTGACCTTGTTTATTTTCAGAGGTTTTTATCTAGTCATCCAGTATAGACGAAAGAATATCTTCAGATAGATCCAATTGATGAAATAAATAAAATCAATATATCCCCAAATACAAATTTGTGTCTAATAACACACCATACTCTATTTTTAAAATTTATTGTTTTCAGGCTTCTAATCATTGCAGTGACATATTCATTTTCTTACAAGGTAAAAGATGGGAAAGATAGGGATTACGTGTTCTCTAATTTACCGAAGATGGTGGCCAACTGAACTGGGCACTGAGAAATCTAAATTCCTACATCGAGTGCTGACACCGAGCAACACAAGAAGGTGTGATGGTGGTGGTCTTGGGGATCCACCCTGAGGCAGCTGAGGGAGCCCTGGCCACGGAGCCAGAAGACCACTGCTCTGGCTCTGAGTTTCAAGCTTCTTTTCCATGGAGTAGTTTTCTTCCTGCAGTTACACGCTTAGCTCAGATGAAATACTGCACAGAAGCACAAAGAAAAGAGACAGAATGGATAGCTGTGGGGCACATGCGGGGCCCTGAGCCCCAGGCGCACAGAGAACCTGCCCTGGTCTTCAGGCGGCTCCTGAGCCTCTACTGAGTGGTGTGAAAATGAGTGATGGAAGAGAGCCTCAATCCTCTGATTCGCTTAAGGGTTGATGTTTTAAAGTAACGAATTTTCATAACGCATTGTGCAAGGTCAAAGGAAAACTACAGATCATGCTGACAGAAGGAAATCAACTTCAAAACTGATCTAATAAACTTCAGAAAATTAAAAAAATAAGGCAAGGGCAACCCATATTACGGTAAAAGTTTGACAGAAAAAGTGTAACTCATCAGTTCAGAATTACAGCATTTTCCAGTACTGTTTGTTCCCTTTGAAGTACGTTAACTTTCAATTAGGAAAAAAAAGAAAGCTATTTTTAAATGCAGTATTTTGCGAGTTTGTGAGAAACATTTTGTACTTTATTTTCATTAAATCTGTGTTTGGTGAGAAGTGGAGTTCAAGTAGTAGATGTAAGGCATTATGTAGAAGATATTAGTAAAAAGTAAAAGCTTTAATCTGTGTATAGTCAGTATCCACAGCCTGCAAGAAAGAGCAGACAAAAGGAAATGGAGGAGTCTTTGTTGTTTATATGGTTAATGATTTAATAATAGTGGAGAAAGGGCCTTTAGGTGATAAAAATGTGTGTCTTACTAAGATTGATTGCAATGCAAAACTTTTAAGTGTTGCAAGAATGCTAGAAAAGGGATTTTAGGATTTGAGACCAATTTTTCTGTAAGTTAAAAAATGTGTCAAAATCTCCTTGAAAAAAAAAAAAAACAGTATAAGGTACTTTCATAGTTCCTCTATTTTAATTTTGAATGCAGTTTTATTCCTTATAGGAGGAAAGAATACGAAATGAATAATGGTAATTAGGCCGTTTTCTAGTTCAGGTCTAAGTTTGCCCTACGCAGCAGAAAATTATTAGAGAAAAACACTAGTGTCTCATTTGAATTACAAATATTGAAGCCTGATTTTAGATACCTAGTTGATTTTGGGTTTTCAAGAACACAGAAGAAGAACTTACTTGATGCATTTCTTCTAAGAAAATTTCTCCACCAAAATGTTGTTTTCATAGGTTAAGGCATTTTGCTCATTCTTTTCATTGCTCTATTCCCAAAACAGAATAGGACCTAGAACATAGTAGTTATTTGATAAACATTTGTTGAATGAATGAATGAGATTAATATAGTGTTTAATTCGGTGAATACATCTGTTTTGTATCCAGATAATGAATTATATTGTGGATCAGGAACTATTGTACTAGTTTTGGTTGGTATATGCTTGTTTTGGCAATAATGTAGCAATGCCATATTTGACTTTAATAGTTTAGTTGAAGGCTCAAGCAGCTTTCTATCTTAGGTTAGTTACTACTTTTTGTTTTTGTTTTTGTTTTTTTTTAAGTGTATTTATTTTGAGAGAGAGCAGGCAAGCCAGTGGGGGAGGGGAAGAGAGAGAGGGGGAGAGAGGGAGAGAGAAGCCCAAGTAGGCTGCTCGCTGTCAGTGCAGAGCCTGATTCCTGGCTGAAACCCATGAACCATGAAATCATGACTTGAGCCAAAGTTTGTCACTCAACTGACTGAGCCTCCCAGGCACCCCTGTTAGCTACTACTTTAATTTTGAATTTTAGGGTATAGTTTTGCATCAGGATTTACCTACCAGGATAAAGGCATAGCAGGGGAGTCTATTTTGAGTAGAAGTGCCCTGAGCAACTTGGGCTGAACACAGTTTCTATAGAAGTCTAGTTATGAGATAATCTGAAGGAAAAAAGTATGAGTAACAGGTACAGAAATGCACTAATTTGTTAAGGATTTTTCAAAGTGTGTTTTTAGACCCTTTTCATCAAAATCATCTGGGTACTTTAATGGTAAACTAACTCCTAAGCTTATAGTACTTATCAGTGTAGTACATTAGCTTCTAGGTTTTTCGATTCTGATGTGAGAACTAATTCTGCAGACCCATACACCTGACAGGCTCTATTTGAACTCATGGCTGTGTTCTGGGAAGTATGTGCAATTGGACTAAAGCAGGTTACAGTTAGAAGGAGGATGTATATATGTTCTTAAGGAAAGAATGATTGTTCTTATGTACATGATCGTACCATCTAGTCTCTATCAGATGCATATATCAATAAAAAGCTTGAAAGTGAACCTTGTCTACATAAAGATCTCCATTCAGAATGAAGTCTCTCTTAATGTGAATTAATCTTTTTTTAAAATTTATTTTTGAGAGCGTGTACAAGTGGGGGAGGGGCAGAGAGGTAGAGACACGCAGAAGCAGGCTTCAGGCTCTGAGCTGTCAGCACAGAACCGCATGCGGGTCTCGAGCTTGTGAACCGCGAGATCATGACTCCAGCTGAGTCAGACGTGTAACTGACTGAGCCACCCGGGCACCCCTTAATGTGAATGAATCTTTGAGAATCATCTCATTTGAACTAAAAATGCAATTTTGTGATTTTTTTTGTTACACATACTTTTCTTCCTTCCTTACATCATAAAACTTTACTATGAAACAGTAATAACCTCCAGTGCTGGTGCTTTTATTTAAACACTACTGCATTGTCTTGGAAATAGTATTTGAATTATAGTAATAAGATTTTGGTAACCACTGCCACATAATATCTCAATTTAAAGATCTAAAATCCAATATTAAGCAGTTTGCAGAAATAGAATATATTTTTCTGAACTTGGTAATGTTGTTATAATTTATAAATTGTCCATAATATGTGTTCATAGTTTCTCCATAATAATTTCCTTTGGGGAATAATTTTATTGCTCTCACATTCCTTCCTGGTCTGTTCAGTCTAATGACTTTTTTTTT